CCGACTAAGTAAGCAAGCTACGCAGGACAATAACACTACTGCAAAGAGAAATAAAACTTGACACAAACCCTATACCAAACCGTCTGGCCAGCATGGTATAGTAGACCAAAACTTCCTCTCTAAGGAGATGTCTATGTCCAGCAGTAGACTAGTAAAGGCTGTTGATCATGATAATTATGACAAAAAGTTACGAGTATAAGGCCATGTAAACAGGGGTTGCAATGAAATTGTAAAATGCAATGTTACGTGCACGTAATTTTAACTTTGAAACTTTTGCGTTCCCTGACTTATAATTATTAGTATTATATGCCTTTGGATTGCCTGACGTCTCAGATCAGGTTGCACTGCACACACACTCAAGTCACAGGCGAATACGGACACACATTACTAATTATCTGGTACATTTCAACCTATGTACTATGCATCACCATCCCGCCTCGCCCGCTGTCTTCCACCAGAGTTGCCGTCAGTACCTACTCATCCACTGCGGCAAATAAGTTTCAAAAAGACCTCTCAAGTCTGTCATCTTTCTTCTGGCAATGTCGAATAGGTCGGTTGGCTCGTACTGTCACTGATAGAGTGAGGTTACCGGAGCCTAAACTGCACAGATGGCGTAGAGGTTTAAGTTGTGAGTTCGATCCCCACATGGGACGACACTTTGTGTGATCCACAAATTGTCGTTCTGAGTCTGGGTGTTCTTTGTGTCCGTTTCATGTATGTTTGTAAAGTCCACCACGACCCAGGATATATTCCTATAAAAATTAAAAATAAAAGCTTGCCCTCATAAGTTGCAGGTATTCATGACCGGCAGTCACTAACTATCAGGTTATCCATTTGCTTTCCTGCTCTTCCACACCCCAAAAAAACTATAAAGTATTCAGAAAGAGCCTTTAAACACGAAACAGAATGACGTATTTCCAGTTTTTTTATCAGGTAGTGGTCCTGTTCCATGCGAATGCAGATTGCACATAAAAAGAAAGAAAAAACTGGTATTACAAAGGTGAGTGAATGGTCATTCACATCATACTGTCATATATATAGCTGTATCAGAACGTGGGATGAGTCAAGCAGAATTAAATTATTTTCCATTTGAAAAGGTCAGTTTCGATCACATAAACATACAGTTAAAAAAACTTAAAATAGAATTATTTGTTTTAACGGCATTACTACAACTAAGTGTGACACTCTTGTGAACCCTGGGGTCTGGACTCTTTACTAAGTGGACTCGCATTGGACTTGAGAGTAATTTCTCGTAATAAAAAATCGTTTAAGATACAACTTCGATCTACTCTGAATCTCACATATGCCGTTAAAGGTAATTTCGTATTACAATAGTAAAGTATTCTTAAGACTAGGAGGCTTTCTAAGGTACACATTGAGCCAAGGTCCTTTTTTTACGTGTGAAAATAACCTCGGGCCGTCACCCCACCGGGGTTTACGGCGGGGTGGGGTGTAAGACATCCGGACCCCTCGTGGCGACTGCCCGCAAAACGTTTACACCAACTCCAACTTTTCTATTTAGACGACGTACGGCACACGCGCACGTCGCCTCACGGAAGGCCATTATAGCGAATGGAGGGGAAAACCCATCCCCGTCCAACTGCGGCCACACTCAGGGCGGCATGGCATGACTGAGTAGGGCGCTAGTAAGCGCGCCTCCGTTGCTGACGACGAATCAGATGAATCGACGACGGGTCAGAGTGGAGGTTGTTCTCCCGGGCCCTTTCCACCGCCTCCTTCTGCGAGACGCCGTCTTCGCAGAAGGATAGAAGGATGCGACCGCGGTAAAACATCTGTCACTACCGGCCATGGAGCGTATGACGGCCGGTAGCGGCCCCCTCCGATGACTGCAATGAGAATGTGCAGCCATGTACAGCCGTCTTGTCCCGACGCTGGGTAAACCCAAATTGGGTAGAAGACGCCCAAGGGCAGACGCAGCCCCGACCAGCTTTGGAGCAAGCTGTCGGAAGTGCTCGTCGAAGAGCCACCTCCCGTCGAGGATCAGGCCCAGATATTTCATCTAGGCCTGAACCGATACGAGGACTGGGAGGGATAAGCCGGGCCACCTGTAAGCCTAGTCCCTCAATGCGCCCGACCACCAGAGATACTCCCCTGGTGGCGAGCATATTGGACCAACGTGTGAGATTCACTTGGCGATATGTTGGTAGTTGGTGACGACCCTGGTTGGTACACATTTAGGTAATAATTAAACGTGCTATATATGCTGCAAGAGATTAAACGTCCATCTTGCACCTCAAAGCACAATGCAAAATGTCTGTGTAGTCTATACCCTTATATTCAACACCTTAATATGTATACCTACACATGGTTGCAAAACAAATTATTTGATTGTATGATGTTTTGGCGCAACATGCTGGCCCAGAACCTTAGTCCAATGTGTACAGCGGCTTTGAAGGAGGTCAATGGTATTGGATGTTTATATCCACCGAAGAAAACCGTTTCCCAGATACATATGTATGTATATTTAGATTTTATATCTAGTCCAATGATCTGGTAGTAATTAGGCCAAAATGTATTTCTATTAGACAGAAAAAGCACCGAAAGAAGTGCTTCGCTTCATCATCATCATCAAAAGCCTTTAAAAGTCCTCTGCTGGACATCTCCTTAGAGAGGTTTTGGCCTACTATACCACGCTGGCCAGACGGGTTGGAATAGTAAAAATAGCAATAAGAATAAATATATTTTTTTAAATAAAAGAAAATGCTGAACAAGAGTGTTCTGTGAAGCCCTGGTATCACTCCGGTCGAGCCGATGTGCCGAAGTATGACTCTCCTGCAGCACATACATTTATGAGAGACAACAACGCTCTTGTGACTCTTGACTTTGATTGATTCATGGGCGGCGAAAGCCACTACAGCATCAGGTGACCCGTGTGCTCGTTGGTCTCCTTTATCATATAAATATCTGACCATCTTTGATCTCTGTACCAAATTTCATCTAAATCGCTTTAGCGGTTGAAGCGTGAAAAGGTAACAGACAGACAGGGAGACACAGTTTCACATTTATAATATTAGTGCTGAAAATATGGAATAATATTAGTATGGATAGACTGGAAGACACACGTCGATTCAGTCTGCAAAAGGATTAATAGTTTTGTCTACGTGCTTAACCGCTACTCAGCAGACAGTACTTCTCGCCTATCATGTACCATATTTCTGCAATTAAAGTATCATTTCATTTCATTTTATTTAATTTCATTTCATTTCATTGGATATATTTGTTCTGTGTCTGGATGTTATCTATGTATTAAAGAAGGAACTGACTGACTGATGCACTGACTGGTCGATCAACGCATAGCTTTAACCGCTAGGTGACAAAGGTAGGCCCGCCAGGCCCGGGAATGGGTCAGGTACCGCAGGCGACTCCGGCGCCGGAGGTCGCAGAACGACCTCCGTCCTCGATAAGCGCAGGGCTGGGGGTGACAGGTGAGGCTATCTGTCACCCTAGCAGAAGCAGGCCGGGGTGGCGGCGAGCGCGTTGCGAAGCGCGCTCGCTTCCAAGGAGCACAGGGAACATGGGGTTCCCACACGGGGGGCGGGGGGGGTCGTCTACTCGTCTGTAGATGACCCGAGGTATGTCGGGGCACCAGGGACTTCCTTTCTAGGGTATACCTGGTTCCCCGGCTATTAGTACCCGAGACGGCCTGCGGTTTTAGTCGGTTCGAGTCCGACATGCCACCGACAGGTGGTATCCGAGGGGATTTCCGCACGGAAAAAAATAAAATAAAAATATAATAAAAAGGTGACAAAGATGTGCTCTAAGAAAGGATTTAATTTTTTTTACCCATAAGGGTGCAAAATGGGGGTTGGAAATTTTTATGAAACTTCGTTATTTTAGGTAGTAGCGTATCCTTTACGATGTCTGATGTTGACCACCACGCTAATGAAGTCTCTAGAATAATCAAGTTTATCTATATTATGTACTAGCTGAGACCCGCGGTGTAACCCGCGTTTGTTGTTATAACCGCGGGCAACGCCGCGGGGCGAAGCTAGTCTAAAAAAAGTAGCCTAAGTTACTCATTATGTCATCAGCTATCTGCCAGTGAAAGTCCCGTCGAAATCGGTCCAGCCGTTCCAGAGATTACCCGGAACAAACAGACAGATAGACATACAGATAGACAGACAGACAAAAATTGTAAAAAATGATATTTTGTCATATGTACCGTGTAAACATACATATGCATTTAGTAAAAAGCGGTTATTTTAATATTACAAACAGACACTCCAATTTTATATATTTGTATAGATTTAGAAATATAAATAATATACACTTAAATAAGTAAGTTTGTTTATTGTACGTGTCTTGATGACGGCAATGGACATACCCCGACTGCACGGATGGCGCAGAGGCTTAAGCGGTCGCCATGCCGCTTCCTACTACGCTGAGTGTTGTGGGTTCAAACCCCACATGGGACGACACTTTGTGTGATCCACAATTTGTTGTTCTGAGTCTGGGTGCTCTGTGTGCCCGTGTCATGTATGTTTGTAAAGTCCCCCGCGACACAGGATATATACCCAATGCGGGAGTTGTCTTTTTAAAAAGAAAGAAAAGTATATATGAACTAAAACCGTAATTGTCAAAATGTGGGCGCACAGTACGCCTCTGTCTCTCTCTCTCATATGTGTTCAGGTCACCATAAATATTATGAATAAACTAGAAGCAGTTACTGGAGCTTACCATGGGTGTAAGTTTTAATGAAACCGACTCTAAAACTGTCCACTGGCAAAAAGTCAAGGACTCCAATGTTGGCAAAAAAGAAACAGCAGGATGCCAATATACCAAGTTATATTAAACAAGTGACAAATTAGTGTCTTGTCTTAAAGTCATAGCAATAAGGTACATTTTTAAATGAGATTAAGTTTATCAAGTGCAAAACTAGTCGGGTTATACACGCGTAACAACAAAACAAAGTTCACTTTTCAGTAAGGCGCGCGTCGCGGGCGAGCGAACACGTGAGCCGATTATATTCTTGTTAAAAAATGAATGTGATATCGTTAGTAATATGGACATTAGAGAAAAATTGTTTTATTGTGTACACGGCTATGGTTGTTTGCTTCATTGCGTTCACGTTGTTTCATAAAAATAAATTGGACGCATATTACAGAAGGACGGCGAAAAAGGATAAATTGGCGCGAATTGGAACAAGCGGGAAAACTGGTGAGTTTAAATTTTATTTTAGTCTTCAAAGTTTGGAAATGTATATTACAAAAATAAACAATTCATATTCATTCATTTTTTTAAATAAGGTTTAAGAAACAACAAAGTGATGTGGGTAGCTTTTTCTGCTTTATTCTCTATAAATCTTAGCTATCAAAAACATAATAAGAAACTAAAATATTCGAGTGTGTAATTATTACAGTCAACCTCCTTCTTGATCATAAGAATTGTTAAATTATAAAAAACAGGCAAAAATATTAATGACTTAAAATTCATGTCATGTTAAATACCTACTGTTAGACATAAGTATTATTAAACAGCATCAGTTAATAAAACTTTCAAGTAATTAGAATGTAAATAGAAACAGCCAACCAAACCTAATGATATTTTTATCAGTCAAAATACACCTTTTTAACTGATTAGAATGGAAATGACGTATCAAATCTCATAATAGGTACCTTTAGCCATCTCCATTAGGTTAAACTAGGCAATCATATTTACCTTTGTTTATGGTAGCGCAAACACCTGATGGTAAGTGACTACCGTGCCATGCACACCTGCAACTTAAGACATCGGCAACTGGTACCCGAGACCCCGAGACCCGTGCGGTTTTTGGTCGGTTCGAGGCCGACTTAACCACGGGTGGTATCTGAGGGGATTTCGGCCCATAAAAGGAAAAAAAGGGCGTTGTCCTGCCTTCCAAAGCCCTCCCACAGTTTAGGAGACCAAAACCTCCTTTCTAAGGAGAGGTTTATGTCCAGCAGTGGACTGTTAGAGGCTGTTGATGATGATGATGAAAGAAGAAGTTGGCTAAACTGTTAACTGGGTTCTAAACTTAGAATTCCACTACATATCTATTGATATTTTAAAAAGTGATTAAAGTTTACATGTAGTAAGTGTAAAAAGTAAAAAAAAAACATTATTAATACTAAAAAAAGGCATCATGCCACTATATGGATCCAGTATATATATATGTGTTTTGAACATTCATGGTAGTGGTGTCATGGAACGTGACCAATTCTAATCCCATTAATTGAAGTATATATATAAAACTAGCTCTATCCTGGTTGCACATTGTGGTTGGAAAAAAAAAAAACTTCTTTTAAATGTATATCGTGTCAAAATTTGATCTCCATCATTGGCAGAACTTTTTGGGTTTTTGAAGAGTACACAACTTAACGCTTTTGTATAATGTTTTCATATAAACAAAGTTCTTTTAACCACAAATATGGATACCCGTTGGACATCCAAGTTTAGAGCTTATCACAAAAGTACCCGTTCGACCTTATTTTTAGGTCTCTTTGGACCCTCTTAAAAATAAAATAATCAATTTGCCCATTGGACCTCTTTTTTAATACCCGTGGGGCTTTCAAAATTAATACCACTAAAAAGGCACCCGTTACACCTCTTTTTTATTTCCCTTTTGACCTTAAAAAATTGTGTTCATTTGGTATTCGTTTGATATTATTTTAGGAAGAAATATTACAGTTATCTTGAAAATTGTCAATCATGATATTCTCAATTCTACAGTTAGTAGATATATGGGTGAAGAAAATATATGCGCTTTGCGACACACTCTTTGCCCCGCACTAAAAATCTGTGGAACGGGTTATCGTCTGCGGTATTTCCGGACCGATACGACCTTCAAGAAAAGAGTGTACTCCTTCCTAAGAGTTGCGGACGTTCATGGGCGGCGATGGTCACTTTCCATCGGGTGACCCGTCTGCTCGTCTGCCCCCTCCAACATAAAAAAAAACTCCACACATCTGACACGCGGCAGTCTGATCACAAACTAGGCAGAGCCTGTGGCAATTCTAACCAGACTATTGATAAACTTACTTATATATTTTTAAACTAGCTGGTACTCGCTACTTCGGTCGTGTGGAACTTAAAAAGCGCTACCTTAGTGGTGCAGTCCTTGAGGCCTCGCGTTCGATTTTTCTGAGAGGAATAATAGCGTAAGTTACTCCTTATATAGACAGCTCAAAATCGGTCCAGCCGTTTTGAAGATTACCCGGAACAAACAAACAGACAGGCAGATAAAAATATTTAAACTGGTTTTTAGGTACAGGTATAGGTAAATAACCGTGTAAGCATGAAAAAAAACTATTATTTTGACATTACAAATGGACTTCAATTTTTATTTATTTCTAATAGATAAATAATATAGATAAATTATACCCAGACACAAACAAAATGATCGTGCTCAACGCACAATTATTTCTCCTGGATGGGAATCGAACCCACAACCTCTTGCTTCACAGTAGGCTAACAGGCCAGTCAAATAATACAGAAATAGTACAAAAATAAAATTGTTGAAAAAGTAAAACCAATATTTGTGTGCACGAAAATAAAATGTAATAGATACCTTCCGTGATCTGTAAGCAATTATTATATTTACTTGTATGGAATAAGATCGAAAATCGTATAACCTAACGTTTAATGTATTATTACCCAGATAGGCCTAAAATTGCATTTATGCAATTTCCGGAAATAGCAAGAGTAATCATTTTTTCTTTTTGTACTTTAGCTTTGTATGTTTTACGATTATAGTTATTACTAGCTGGTGGCCGCGTCTTCGTTCGCGGGGAATTTAAAACTCCCAATGCAGTCCATGAGGACTCGGGTTCGATTCCCGGACCGGGCAAAATTAAATATGGTTTTTCTGAGAGGAAAAATAGCCTACGTTACTCCCTATATAGTCAGCTTCCTGGTAGTAAAATATGTATAATCAAAATCCAGTCGTTTTGAAGTTACCCGAAACAAACAGACAGACAGGCAGACAAAAATATTTAAACTAATTTTTAGGCATATGTATCGTGCAAATAACCGTGTGAGCATAAAAAAAAACCTAATATTTTGACATAACAAACAGACACATCAATTTTATTGATTTGTACATGCATTTTCCATACATATTTTTATTTTATACGTACATTTACAAGTACTGATTCATCAACGCAGATCCTACACCGCAGGGGCTAGAAACTTGAAAGCCGATTTTTTTTTTATTGTTAGTACTACATAAAAAGGATTTTTGGAAATTTCACTTCTTTTGTTTTGGTGACAGGGTGGAAAATCGCAGACGCAGAATTTCACCCCAAAAGTTGGTCATTTTTAAAGTGTAGCGGGTAATAGCTTTTTATAGTATATAGGGGGCAAACCAGGAGACTCTAAACGGCTTGGTGGATATTGGTGTTCAAGGTTGCCTCAGATTCGTCTTAATTGTGAAAGTGGTACCAGGAATAGGTATATTTCTTATTATATTTATGTAGGTTTATGTATGTATGTGTGTTTATATATTGTGTATGTCTCTGGACCTAAATTATGTTAAATTTAATATTTTATTTTGCACTTACCGCATCATATTTCTACATCACCTGAAGGTGGACTGGGAGAGAATGCCTAACGGCATTAAGTCCGCCTTTGTACAACATGTGCATTAAGAATAAAATTAAAATCGCTATCTAGTTTGTAAGTTTTAAGTATCGTACTTATACAATTTAATCGCTTCGGATCTTTTCGTTTCATACAATAACTAGCCAGCAGACTCTGAAACATACATTTTGAACCATATTAGGGAATTCGTGTACTGGGCGATGTAACACATTGCGTCAGAGATTCGTTATCTGTTTCATGTGTTATCAGTTAGTTCATATATTTGAACACATCATACAAATACAATGCAAGAACCATGATATGCGACCGAATGTGTCATCATTATCATCAACAGTCTATAACAGTCCACTGCTGGACATAGGCCTCTCCTTAGAAAGGAGGTTTTGGTCTACTATACCACGCTGGCCAGACGGGTTGGTATAGGTTTGTTTTAAGTTTTCCTTCTTTTTGCAGTGCTATTGTCCTGCGTAGTTTGCTCCCTTAGTCGGCTCTTACGAGACCTAAGGGATGATTAGGGTTGGTGACATTCTGTATTTTTAATCCGTCACCACACCGACCGAATGTGTATCAAAACTGATTTGGTATCTCACTATAGTTAGATTTATACTCCTACTAGCTCTCTTCGTCCTATTCGTTTAATTTCTTTTTATTACACGTGACTCTTTGAGTGGCAGGCGTCCATGAGCGCTAGCAGACACTTTCAGGCGACTTACTTGCTCTTATGACCCATAAATAGAAACACACTCCAATTTACTATCTTCCTTTGTTCCGTCTGAAAACGATTACTTGACTGCACGATGGCGTAGTAGTTTAAGCGGTCGCCACGCCGCTTCCTTCTACACCGAGTGTTATGGGTTTAAACCCCACAAGGGACGGCATTTTGTGTGATCCACAAATTGTTGTTTTGTCTTTATTAAAGAAAAAAATAAAAGACCTCATTCCTAATGAGGTCAGGTGTCAGGCAGACGACGGGCCATATACGCTGGTCAACAAGTTCAAAATCGTGTTAATTCTTGATAAAGCTCCTAAAACTATGAACGATGGTTCATTTGATTCGGAATGTCTAGAAAAATGTATCGAAAGTATGTATGTATGAATCGAATTCAATAAGGCAGCGCTTTATTGGAACGAAGTTCCTTATCGCGCGTTGTGAAAGGGGGTCTAGACGGAAAAAAATCTCACGAAAAGTTGTAACGACACTTTTTATGTCAGTCATTCAGCGCCATCTATCGAATAGATAGGAAATCATTACTTTTCATCTCAGTAAAATTAAAATTTATGTTCTTAGGTTGAGCAAAAAATATCATTTCTCAAGGAGATTTTACCAATGTATAAATTGTTTTAATTAGAAACCAACTGAAAAATATGTAGGTTATAGCCGCTTTCATAGATGGCGTTGTAATTAAAATCGTGTCGAATCAGTTTTACTCGATCGTCACAACTTCGTTCCTATCGGCTGTCCCACGACACCACACGGCTTTTTTATAGTATAATTGTGGGAGAACTTTAATTCGTGTAAATCACGTATTTCTCTCACAAATTCACCCCGTGATGCAACTTACTAATTATAACTGAGATACTGATATAAATAGCCTTATTAT